ACAGGGTATGTAGTAGACGATAATAGCGAGCATGACCGAGATACAGCAGACTCTGATTACTCTAGTGGAGAGGTTAGTGGACTAGGGGAAGACTGAAGCTCTAATTAAAACTAGTCTTGGAGCACCAAAGGCTGGATCGGGTTTGATTTTGAGGACTCGAGAGGCTTTGCCACGGATTGGGTAGGAGCTGACATAGCGGAGGCTGGAGGTCTGGACAAAGGTTGGGATTGCATAGGCAATTTCGGGGCAACATCAGGTTAACCTGAAGCATCGGGTTCAAGATTTTCTCAGATTTAAGCCACTAACTTTTTCTGGGTAGGGGACCACTGAAGATCCACAACAGTTCATTGATAAGATGGAGATCATATTCGAGGTAATGAAGTGCTTTAGCCCTAGGTGTGGATAGTTGGCCATATGCAGATTACATGATCTAGCTCGGTCTTGGTATAAGACCGCATTGTTTGGCAGACCTCAGGAGGCGACACTGATGACTTGAGATGAGTTTGTGAATGCCTTTATGGACCAATATTTATCTACCAATAGGAAAGATCAGTTTGTAGCGGAGTTTGAGTGTTTTTGGTAGACCCATAGCATGACAGTTCTAGATTTGAAGCTTGTTTCAATCATCTTTCCTGGTATACTCACATTTGGCAATTAACGAGCGAGAAAAAGGCTAAGAGGTTCATTCAAGGATTAGTAGAGCCTCTATTCCAAGTTCTAGGCTCTTATATGGGGAACTATACATATACTGAGACAGTGGATGTAGCTTAAGTGATTGAGGTTAGGAGTTTTGAGCAGAGAGCTTTTAAAGACACAAGGAAAAAGGCTAAGCACTCAGAATTCTTTAGTGGCAATTAAAGTTTCCCTCTAGGATCTAGTTTTCAGAGTTAGCAGTGCATTACCCAAACCGAGCTGACACACTCTGGCCGTCTATTTACAACTTCTTAGCATTAGCTAGCGAGACTAAGAGCATGGTATAGTTAGAGCAATATAGTTCAGTGCCACATAGTCAAGAGGCCCCAACTTGCCGTACTTGTGGGCATAAGCATCGAGGGCATTATCATGGAGAGAGTGGTGCTTGCTATCAGTGTGGTGACCTTGGGCACAAGATTTGAGATTGTCCACGGATACAGCTTGGTGATAACTAGGCAATGAGTTAGTCAGATAGAGTAGCTTCGTCGCTTCCTGAGTAATTGGTTTAGGGATAGGGACAAGGCTCTAGTGGTAGAGGACGAGGCTAGTTTAGGAAAGGCCAGCACATGTATATGCCTTGACTAGGCAAGACACCTAGGTGTCCAATGCAGTGGTGACAAACATGATCATAGTCGACTCATTCGATGCATGTGTATTATTTGATCCTGAATCAACTCATTCTTATGTGTCTCCGAGTTTTGTTGCTCGATTCAATTTTTTATGTGTTGCTTTGGAGCAGCCTTTTCTTGTGGCTACCTTTGTAAGGAGCCTGTTCTAGTTAGGCCAATGTACAAGTCCTATTTAGTTAGAGTGGTAGATAGGGAGTTCACAGTTTACTTGATTATCCTAAATGTTATTGACTTTGATATGATATTAGGTATGGATTGATTGACCTCTTGTTATGCCACCTTAGACTGCTGTACCAAGATAGTGAGGTTTGAGACACTTGGAGAACTGCCATTAGTAATTAAGAGTGATTATAACTTAACTCCTACTCGAGTGATTTCTTATATAAGGGTTAGGCGATTGTTATGTAAAGTATGTCAAGGATTCTTGGCTTTGATCAAAGACACCCGAATCTCAAAACCTAGCATAGAATCAGTTTCCAGTAGTGAGTGAGTTTGCTGATGTGTTTTCCGAGGAGTTGCTTGGTGTTCCTCCCGAGTGTGAGATTGAGTCCTATATTGACGTAGTTCCTAACACACAATCGATCTCTATTCCTCATTACCAAATGGCAGTAACAAAACTTAAGGAATTAGAAGAATAATTGCAAGATCTTCTTAACAAGGGTTTCATTCGACTAAGCACTTCTCCCTAGGGTGCTCCAGTGTTGTTTGTAAAGAAAAAGGATGAAAGTATGCGACTATGCATAGATTATTGGCAATTCAATAAGGTGATAATCTGTAATAAGTATCTATTACCCCAGATAGACGATTTGTTTGATCAGTTTCAAGGAGCGATGTATTTTTCAAAAATAAACTTGCGATTAGGGTATCATCAGTTGAGCATCAAACTTGATGATATTCCAAAGACTACTTTTTCAAACTAGATATGGACATTATGAGTTTTTGGTTACGTCCTTCGGTTTGACAAATGCTCCAGCTACTTTCATGGATCTGATGAATCAAGTGTTTAGGTTCCTAGATCGATTAGTGATTGTCTTCATTGATGACATCTTAGTGTACTCCAAGAATAGAGAGGAGCATGAGTCACATTTACAAAAGATATTCTAGACTTTGAGGGAGCACTATTTATTTGCAAAATTTTTCAAGTGCGAGTTCTAACTAAATAAAGTGACTTTCCTTGGGCACGTAGTTTCTAAGAAAGGAATCATCATTGATGAGAGCAAAATTTAGGCAGTACAATGGTGGCCTACACCTAAGTCTGTTATTAAAATCTACAGCGTTCTTGGTTTGGTTGGGTATTACTGTCAATTTGTAAAGGATTTCTCGAAGATTGTTGCACCTTTGACCTAATTGACATAGAAGAGAGCAAAGTTTTAATGGTATGATGCCTGTGAAAAGAGCTTTCAAGAACTTAAGAACTGTCTAACTTTTGCACCAGTTTTAGCATTACCTTTGAGGTTAGGAGATTTTTCAGTTTACTATGATGCTTTTAGAGTTGGTATGGGATGTGTATTGATGTAGAACGACTATGATATAGCTTACACATCCAAACAGGTCAAGAAGCATGAGCAAATTACCCTACTCTTGACTTGGAGTTGGCGGCGGTTGTGTTTGCACTAAAGATTTGGAGACATTATTTGTATAGAGAACCTTGCAGGATCTACACCAACCACAAAAGTTTGAAGTATATTTTTCAGCAAAAAGATGTAAATCTTAGGTAGAGGAGATGGATAGAATTGCTTAAGGATTATGTTGTACTATCTTGTATCACCTCAGGAAGGCCAATGTAGTCGCCGATGCTTTGAGCAAGAAGTTTATGGGGAGTTTGGCGTATATCGCTTCAGTTAGATGACCATTGATAGATGAGTTACATGGATTAGAGTGAGGAGGTTTACAGCTCCGGATAGACCAATCTGGAGTATTATTAGCTCATGTCCAGGCCTAAATGTCTTTACTCGAGCTTATCAAAATAAGTCAAGATAAAGTTGCTAAGCTGTTAAAGGTTAAGGAAGAGGTTTAGACAGAGAGACACACTGAGTTCGAGATTGATGTCGAGAGAGTTCTAAGATGCAACACTCGTATTTGTGTTCTGAATGTTGGCGATTTGAGAAAGGTGATCATGGAGGAAGCCCATAACTCTAAGTATACCGTACATCCCGGTTCTACCAAGATGTATCAAGATTTAAAGCAATTGTATTGGTAAAAAGATATAAAGCAAGATATCACATATTTCGTATTCCAATGCTTCACTTGTCAACAAGTGAAAGCTGAGCATCAGAGGCTGACTAGATTACTTCAACAGATTGAGGTATAGAGAGGAAGTGGGAGTGGATCACCATGAATTTTGTTACAGGATTACCTCGCACACTTAGGGGATTTGACTCTAATTGGATGAGAGTAGATCAATTGACTAAGTCGGCCCACTTCATTTCGGTGAAGATAACATAAGATTCCCCCCCCCCTTGCATATGCATAATTGTATATAGATGAGATAGTAAGACTCCACAAGGTCCTGGTGTCTATCATCTCAAATAAAGGGCCTCAGTTTACATCTAAATTTTGGAGGGTTTTTCATGAGGTCTTAAGCACTCGATTGGATTTCAGTATGGCTTTTCACCCTTAGACCAATGGACAGTCCGAGAGAACGATTCAGATTTTAGAAGATTTGTTATGGGCTTGTGTTATGGATTTCAGTGGTTACTGAAGTCAGTACTTACCATTAATAAAGTTTGCTTATAATAATAGTTACTAGACAAGTATTCAGATAGCACCTTTCGAGACCTTATACGAGCAGCATTGCAGATCTCTGGTGGAGTTTATCTATTTCTTAGTATAAGTAAAAGATTAGGATTAAGTATTAGAGAATATTCTGTTTATTTTGTGATTGGTCTCGTTCTTTTGACTGAGATTTAGGAGAATATCTCCTTAGATGGTGTCAAGATTTTTGATATGAATTTTATATTTTTATTCAATTATTTGTCCAGTATGATTCACTCTTTATCAGAAAACCTTAATTTAATTATACTAATCTTAAAGGAATAAATGATACATGGAGAGTTTATGTAAATAAATAAGATGGAGAAAAAAGTTTAAGACATAAAATGATTTTTACCATTTTTAAATTGACTATAACTTCATTGTATTGGACCTACTTTAATTAGATTAAATCTATCTTAATTAAATTGAGTCTAACTTAATTAAATTGAGCCTAACTAACTTAATTATGAAAATATTAAATCCATTCCGACAAGATAATTTAGTCAAATTCTATATTTTGGTTCCATTGGTCGAAATAATGTTCAATAACCCAAAATTGATTTAAAAACATTCAAGCCTACAAGAAAAATTAAAAAATGTGTTAAAATTATTTTTATAGAAATATATTTAATTAATGGACATAAGAATAAAAGTTAAGATTTTTTAGTGGAGCCTGTATAAAATGTTTTGTTCGCAAGAGATTAATATTGTTAAGAAATTAAGGTAAATAGAATTAGCATGTATAGCGATTTCCGTTCTTATTTTTGACCTCGGTCCAAAAAAAATAAAAATAGAAAAAAAAACAAGCTAGCATCTCGTTCCTACTCTCGCGCTTTTCTATTTCTAATTTCAGGCTGATACCGAATAACCTCTTCTGTCTTCTTCTCTCCCTCCATTTTAAACCATGAAAGCGTAAGCATCTGTATGTTTATCGACCTGAACAAACTCTTAAAGCTAGGCTTTAAAGGTTCGCATTTCCAGCAACACACAATCCGTTTATTCTTATCTACTTGTCCTCGGTTTCCACCAGGTCAAACGGTCCCAGTTTCGTTTGACGATACCATTCATCACGTGTCGTCTTTGATAAACCAACCCAAATGGGAAGAAAGCAAGCACCTGAAACTGATTGTTTCTCACATTCCTCCTTTGGTTGCTTCCCGTATTATTGCGCAGCAGAAAGACAACATTGAGCTCGGGTTTCGGTTTTTCAGATGGGTATGCAAACAATCCTCCTATTGTTATCATTTAGAGGGCAGAATTAATCTACTGCAGTTGATGGTATGTTGTAACTTATTTGTTGCTGCACAGAAGGCCGTTATTTTTTTGATTAAGGAGTGTAGTGGAGATGATGAAATTGAGAAGTTAATGGGTGCGCTTGACGACATGCGAGAGACTGGGTTTAGGCTGAACTACCCTTGTTACAGCACTCTCTTGATGTGTTTAGCTAAGTTCGGTATGGGTCCGTTGGCATTTCGGGTCTCTAGAAGAATGGCACGTGATGGATTTGTTCTAGGCCTTATTGACTACCGATCCATAATTAATGCCCTGTGCAAGAATGGACTTATACAACCTGCTGAAATGTTTCTATCGAGAATTTTGAGGAGTGGGTTCACTTTGGATGTTCATATTTATACATCTTTGGTGTTAGGTAGCTGCAGGTTAGGTGATCTTTCAGAAGCCTTCCGGGTGTTTGATATAATGTCTAAAGAGGATGGATGCAATCCCAACAGCGTTACATTCTCGGTTCTGATCCATGGTCTATGCGAAGCTTTTCAGATTGAAGAAGCATTTCGAATGAAGCAAGAAATGATTGACAAGGGTTGCCTACCAAGTACCCGTACATATACCATACTGATTAAAGCTCTTTGCGGCATAGGATCAATGGATGAGGCTTTAGGTTTGCTTAATGAGATGGTTATAAAGGCATGTAAACCAAATAATCACACATATACAGTACTGATAGCTATGTTGTGTGCGGAAGGAAGGATTGAAGAGGCTAATGGGATGTTTAGAGCGATGTTAAAAGATGGGTTGCTTCCTGGCACGGTCACTTACAATGCATTGATCAATGGTTACTGCAAAGAAGGGAAGGTTGAATCTGCTTTTGAGCTACTGAGTGTGATGGAAAGGAGAAATTGCAAGCCTAATATACGCACATATAATGAGCTAATGGAAGGTCTCTGTAGGGTTAATATGCCTTACAAAGCTTTGTTATTGTTGAGGAGGCTCCTCGATAATGGCCTATTGCCTGACAGAGTATCATACAACATTCTGATTGATGGATTCTGCAGGGAAGGGCAACTTAGAATGGCTTTCAACATTTTGAATTCAATGGAGAGACTTGATCTTGAACCTGATGGAGTTACTTATACTACATTAATTGATGGGCTCTGCAAACAAGGGAGACTGGACCAAGCAAATGGGATATTGGGGTTGATGATGAAGAGGGGAATATCTCCTGATGAAGTGACATGGACAGCTCTAATTGATGGGTATTGTAAGATTGGCAAAGTTGCAAATGCTTTTATGTTTTTTCAAAAGATGGTTGATCACAGTTGTCTGAGAAGCCCACATGCATTTAACTCTTTCCTTGATGTTCTCAGTAAACAACTCAGGGTGAATGAATCAAATGCAATGTTGGGCAAGATGGTGAAATCTGGTTTAGTTCCTTCTGTGGTGACTTACACAACATTAATTGATGGACTTTGCCGGGCAGGTTGTACTAGGCATTCACTGATTGTCTTAGAGCTTATGAAACAAGTTGGTAGTCTACCAAATGTTTACACCTACACTGTTGTCATCCACAGCCTTTGCCAACAAGGTAGAGTGGAGGAAGCAGAGGCTCTTCTCTTTAAGATGAGCCTTCTAGGACTATCTCCAAACTACATTACGTATTCTATATTGGTGAACTCACATGTTAAAGCTGGTAAGTTGGATAGTGCCTTTAAGATTCTAAGTACCATGGTGAGAAATGGTTGTCAACCAAACAGCTGTATCTATCATTCACTGCTTACAGGGTTTGTTATGCAAGGCAGAGAACTAAATCCAGAACCTATGAGATCTCCAAGTGATATAGGTGGTGCTGACTTAACTATGAGGGAGAATGGTGAAGCTTATGATTTTAATCATGCTTTAAGGGAGATGGATATTGGTAGTGCTTTTGAACTTCTTGATAAGATTAAGAAATGTGGCGGCTCCTCCATGGATGTGTACAATATTTTAGTTATGGGTTTATGCAAAGTGGGAAGAATGTCAGAAGTGGGTCATCTAGTCAAAGATATGGCAAGTCATGGTCTGTTTCCTGATAAAACTGTTTGTTCTGTGATCATTGAGCACTTTGGGAAGGAGCACAAATTTGATTACTGCCTTGAGTTCATCAAATTAATTGTCAATGAACGTATAATTCCTTCTATTACATCTTACTGTTCTGTGATACTCGGACTCCGCAAAGAAGGGAAGGTTGAAGAAGCCCAAAGACTAGTCTCTGATCTCTTCAAATTCACTGACATTGGGAAGAAAGCTGCAGTTTCACCCTATATTGAGTTTTTGGTAAAGGAAGATCAGCCCCATGAGTTCATTGAGCTTATAAAAGAGGTTGAGCAAACATATCGGTGTGACAGGCCAATTATCTAATTTTCTAGTGCAGTTCTTTGATAATTGGCCAGTCACATTGGGCTTGCATTGTTACCAAAATTTTGGGCTATTTGGTGACAAAACCATGGATTTCTTAACATCAATATTAACCTTTTGGTGCGAAACTTGGATGTAGTGAATGAGCCTGAACTTACCTCATCTGGGATAGGGATGGATCAATTCTGGCCTAAAGTTCATTGGCAAAAAAATCCCTGCATGTGATGGATTTGTATTTTATTCATGCTGGGAGTTCAAGTGGCATCAACTAGGTAAATTTTGACAGTGGCATTTAGGTGATTGAATTCTTCTGTGCAGTTCTTTGCAAAAAGTGACTTAAGAATTTATATTGTGATAGTTTGATCTGGTTAATTTATAGGTAGAAGCATCTAACAATGTTTTGTTTCACCATACTTGACTACTGAGGATAACCTTGAGGTAAATCTCAAATTAACTTCCTCTTTTTTGAAAAGAAATAAGTTAAGTGATGTTAAATCCACAGCTGTCTCTTCTCCTCTGCCATACATGAGAGGGCTGTAGGACCACAGGTTGTCTCACGTAGGTTTGCGGATGAGGAATGCTGGCCTGATTTTGACTATGCTATTATTTTTTGTCTTTTGGTATGGGATATCTCATTCATAATGATTGACTGAGATCTTGAGAATTCTAAATTCCAGAATCTTTTTTTCTTTTATTTTTAATTACTTGTTCTCCTCTATCACTCTGTTATAGGAGTTTAAAACTTTTATTAAATAACTTAGTGTATGCTCATAAAATTCCTGTGTGGTACATGAAATTTGCATATAAGCTCAGTTTGTTTGATGCATTGTAATATAACAAATCATGTAAATTGGTTTACATTGTGATGAATAATATATAATGATCAGCGGTAATTATCCTAATTAATAAATTGACATCGAAATGAGAGAGAGAAGCTATTGTAAATCTACTTTGACCTCCACTTATTACTTTCTTCTATGAATTTGCTCTAAAGAAATCCCTTCCATCTTCGCCCGCCTGCCTCCCATGTTTGATTTTGATGTAGTTGTGTAGAGTTTGAAAACTGTATTGACAGGTAGCCATTGTTTAATCAACCATTAATATTATTAGTGTGTTGTTTGGAATTGATTGGCCAAATCTTCATGTATTGAATGAAGATTCTGAATATATTTGTGCATAGTTGTCATACATAATTAAATGAAAGCAAAACTAGAGGTTGGCCTCTATTGGTATTTTTCTAGAAAGCTGTCATGTTTTCAAGAATAGATTATGCAGAAACTGATATCTGGAATCCATTTGGCCAATTGTTCTTCAGAACTGGTTTTGAAACAATTTCTGGAAAGTAACTCCATTTTCTGGATACAATTTGTGAGTATTTTTATTGTTGCAAGAATTATTTTCAAGAGAATGTCCACTACTCTATATTTTGTACTTCAAGATGATGTGACTACAACAGCATTTCTACATTATTAGTAAAATGAAAAACATCCATGCTCAACTTATTAGTAGTTATCTTCCTTATTTAAAGCATTACCTGCTAATAGGAATGATACAGTTGTTGTTCATTTCAGCAATTGATCATATAATTTTGTAGCAATTTCAGTAACTGGAATTTCCATTATTTGTTTTTAGTATCCCTCTCAGCCTTAATGTTCCCCTGAGCCTTACTCCCAGAAGTGATTTTCCTATATAGTCATGGATTGGAACAGTAGGCTATACTTTGAGAAGGGAATATATAGCAGCTAGTCTGGAAGAACTTGGCAAAGCAAATTAATCAAACAGTTAATTCTTCATATGTTCCTGGCTCATTGTCTATGGAAGCAGACATGGGGAACTACTAATGTAGCCCCAAGAGTGAAGTGTTTTATTTGGAGGGCATGTCCTAATGGTTTAGAAGCAAATGAGTACTTAGCCAATAGAAGACTGAGATTGTTGTATGCTTTGACCTGTATGGATGGGATCGTGAGGCTTCTGAGCCAGAAGCTAGTTCTCATCCTGCAATAATTGCACTGCATAGCAATAGTGGGCTATAATGGTACAAGGCAAGCAGTTCCATCTTCATCCTCCCCCTTTCTCTCTCTTTTCATTGCCTGCATATGTATTTCCAAATGTGGTGTTTCTCTTCCATCATACAATGGTTTCTTTGTAGTAGAATGGGTATATGGTATTGAGTCTATTATAATTGTTTTCTACGGTGAGTGGTAAACATCAACTTCGGCGAATATGAGGTTGAAGTGATTCAAAAAGTTACTAAAATGTATGATAATTTTAGAATATGGAATAAGAAATTATGCCAACGTCAAAAGAGGAAGTTATGAAAGTAGATTCCCATGAAACTCGGTTCTTGATATATGTAAATGCTATTTTTGCTGGGTTCCTTTTCACTGAAGTATAGAAGAAAGATCATGCATTCAAGAGGAAACTGTCTCTGTGGAACTTAAAGATCCGCCCTACAGCCTCTTCCTACATACTTCTTAACCCCTCCTCTGTACTCCGTTGACACACATTCCTTGACATATATTTATGCCTTTCACATTTTTGAACAAATATGGATGGCAAGTGAATGCACACATTTTTGGATGAAAGTTGAGCACTGTCTGGTTTAAAGGTGATTTTCACATATCCTCTCTTCTCTGAACTTGAATAGCTCGTGTGCTTTTCATTAATATTTTTAATTTTTCGATTCATTATCTTTTAGTGATGATGTATGCATTGGGGGATATGCTACTGATTGCATTTTTATTTTGTTTTTATTTTTTAATATGACCTCTATAGCACCAGCACTGTGCATCAATATAATGTATTCTACCTATGTTCTGTTTGTGTGCTTGCAATATGATGACAAAATTTTTCTTTTTACTAGTTGGGATATGTCAGGACCACACAAAAGCATGTGTACATGACAGTCTTACAGAACGAAACTTGTTTAACTTACAAGGATGAGTCTACTTAAGTGATATGGTTTACAGCTGCTGGTACAAAGAAGAGAGTTTGTGCACTGGTTTGGATTTCTGGTAGTAAGCTTGGAGAACATTTTTCTCATAGCAATGAAAGAAACTAAAATTTCCATTTTGCTCCAGGGGTAGGTGGATTGACATTATGTCGGAAGAGGGAGACAATTTCCTTTCATTTCATCAAAACAGGTGATCATGAATATTTGATCTGGATTTATGATGCTGTGGTGAGTTTGAATGTTTGCACTTCATTTGCTAAACCGGAATACATTTAAATTTTCCTTAGATAAGTAGAAAAACACCTGCCAGTTCTCTCTTCATCTTGTTTTTAGCGCAATTTTTAAGTGCCTTTTTCTCTGACTATGGAAGTGATTACTTGATCTACATAGATTCACATGGCAAATTTTTTGAAAATGGTTTCTCTGCCTCAATATCTCTCACATAATCAACATTAACTATTGGATTCTTTAGGAGAAAAAGTAGAAGGGAGTTTGAAGTTGGACCTCTTAATTAGCAAATGATCCTCTCAAATCTCAACAGACTTTGACAATAAGAAAAATTTATGTACAAGAATATCTGTAGGTTTTGAAGTACTTGCCAATCAATTTTATGTTGCATTTTATTCATCTTGCAGGATGTTGAAGTTCCTGTTCCCTGCCAAAGAGGATGAGGTTTTGCTAAAGCTGGACGCAGCAAGTATAAATCCAGTTGATTGGAAACTTCAGAAGGCCTGCTTGTCTATGTTTTTTATCGGAAGTTTCCTCATGTGCCCATGGTTGTTAATAATGCCTGAAGGCGTGCTATGGCACATAGCATATCAATGTGCACCCTTTGCGCATTGATGCACTATGCAAGTTGGACTGAAAAGTCGTGCACGTGATGGCACGCTATGTGCGCCATAGCACAATAGTGCAGCGCACCATATAGCACGCTATTCTTTGGCCGCTTAGTGAAGGGAAAGATGTAAAATACTTCGTTGTGCATTAGTAAGCCCTTCCCGCCTCCCTTTGCTCATCATCTACACTTCTTGCCTCTCTCAAATCCAATTTGCAGTCAATTACAAATGCAAAGCAGCCCCAAGCTTGTTGCAAGTAGAGGCAAAGCAGCCCCTTGTAGTTGGTCGTTGTAATTGCAATCTCACATCAACCCAGGACTTGGAATCTCATGTTGACCATTTATGACTCACAAGTTAGGGTTTCTTTCTTCCTCTCCTCTTTACTCTTCTCCTCTTGTTCCCCCCACAACCAGTTGGCTAGGTTTAGTTCGTGTATTGTTTGTTTGTTTGTTTGCTCTTTTTTTTTTTTTTTTTTTTTTTTTTTTTTTTTTAGTTTCAGATAATTAAATTTTTTTCTTTTTATTGCAATAGAGTGGCAAAATATATATAAGAAGAGAATATTTCCATCCATGATTTCAAAATCTATATTTGTACCACAAAATCAGGATTAATCCTATAGCTAATAAATGAAAGGTAATCAATCCTAGCTAATTTACAGGAACACAAATTAGGAAAGAAAATCCTAAAGATAGTATATATCACAATAATAAAATTGATACCAATTACAATCAATCTGATTAATGCTTGATTGTTTAATCAGAATCTCCCATGATCTTCACGCCCCCTCAAGTTGGGATTAGATGTTGATCATTCCCAGCTTGGAAATTAGGTTGTCAAAGCTGATTCTTGGTAAAGCTTTTATGAGAATATAAGCAGTTTGAAGTCTTGAAGGAGTGTAGATCATTTTAATGATTCCTTCTTCAATCTTCTCCCTAATGAAGTGCCTATCAATCCCCACATGTTTGGTCTTGTCATGATAAAATGGATTCTTAGCAATGCTGATTGTAGCTTGATTATCACAAAATAACTTTATTGACACTTCATATGTGGCCTTTAGTTCATGAAGTAATATTTTTTAAGCCATATTCATTCACATATGCTATGCGTTATTGCTCAAAATTCAGCATTAGCATTGCTGTGGGCTACCATGGATTGTTTCTTGCTTCCAAGGTTACTAGAATTCTCCACACATAAGTACAATAATTAGAAATGGG